GCAACATCATGGCTCTAAATTCTAGTTCTGTTAACTTGCTTAACTGCACCTCATTTATTTCATCTTCTGTAGAGGTCTCTTGATCTTTCATTTGGCTTTTGTTTCTGTTTCTCACCATTTTGGTTATCACAGTGGGCTTTGGAGTCTGCCAAGTTTTCCCAGTGGGTGTTCGTGTTTTGCTGTTTGTGGCTCCCTCTCCTGGGTTTGGATGCACCAGGGAGGACCCACTTTAATCCCGCCAAGTCCCCTGTTCTCCGGGAGTCTGTGTGGCTCCAGCGGAGAGTTTAGCAGGCTATAGCGTTAGGAGGGCCCATGCAGGGTGGCAAGGGAGGTGGTGGGAATAATTTCCAGCCAAGTTCCCTGGTCCCGCCCAGTTCCCTGGGGGCCGTGAGTCCGTGGGGCTTCAGCGGCTGCAGAGTTTCCAGGGCCGTGCACGGCGGGAAGGGAGGCGGTAGAATTAATTTTCCGCCACGTTCGCAGGTCCCACCGAGTTGCCTGGGGGCCAGGAGTCTGTGTGGCTTCAGCGGAGAGCCTAGCCTAGCCAGCTGCAGAGTTTCCAAGGCCGTGCACGGCAGGGGGGGAGGCGGTAGAGTTAACTCTCCACCGCGTTCCCCGGTCCCACCGAGTTGCCTGGGGTCTGCGAGTCTGTGCGGCTTCAGCAGAGAGCCTAGCCTAGCCGGCTGCGAGTCTGTGCGGCTCCAGCGGAGAGCCTAGCCTAGCCGGCTGCAGAGTTTCCAAGGCCGTGCACGGCAGGGAGGGAGGCGGTAGCATTAAATCTCCACCGCGTTCCCCAGTCCCACCGATTTGCCTGGGGTCTGCGAGTCTGTGCGGCTTCAGCAGAGAGCCTAGCCTAGCCGGCTGCGAGTCTGTGCGGCTCCAGCGGAGAGCCTAGCCTAGCCGGCTGCAGAGTTTCCAAGGCCGTGCACGGCAGGGAGTGAGGCGGTAGACTTAATTTTCCGCCGCGTTCCCCGGTCCCACCGAGTTGCCTGGGGGCCAGGAGTCTGTGCGGCTTCAGCGGCTACAGGGCCTTGCACGGCAGGAGGGGAGGCAGCAGAATTAATTTTCCGCCTAGTTCCCCGGTCCCTCCGAGTTCCCTGGTCCCGCCCAGTTCCTTGGGGGCCAGGAGTCTGTGCGGCTCCAGCGGAGAGCCTAGCCTAGCCGGCTGCAGAGTTTCCAAGGCCGTGCACAGCAGGGGGGGAGGCGGTAGAGTTAACTCTCCACCGCGTTCCCCGGTCCCACCGAGTTGCCTGGGGTCTGCGAGTCTGTGCGGCTTCAGCAGAGAGCCTAGCCTAGCCGGCTGCGAGTCTGTGCGGCTCCAGCGGAGAGCCTAGCCTAGCCGGCTGCAGAGTTTCCAAGGCCGTGCACGGCAGGGGGGGAGGCGGTAGAGTTAACTCTCCACCGCGTTCCCCGGTCCCACCGAGTTGCCTGGGGTCTGCGAGTCTGTGCGGCTTCAGCAGAGAGCCTAGCCTAGCCGGCTGCGAGTCTGTGCGGCTCCAGCGGAGAGCCTAGCCTAGCCGGCTGCAGAGTTTCCAAGGCCGTTCACGGCAGGGGGGGAGGCGGTAGCGTTAAATCTCCACCGCGTTCCCCGGTCCCACCGAGTTGCCTGGGGTCTGCGAGTCTGTGCGGCTTCAGCAGAGAGCCTAGCCTAGCCGGCTGCGAGTCTGTGCGGCTCCAGCGGAGAGCCTAGCCTAGCCGGCTGTAGAGTTTCCAAGGCCGTGCACGGCAGGGAGTGAGGCGGTAGACTTAATTTTCCGCCGCGTTCCCCTGTCCCACCGAGTTGCCTGGGGGCCAGGAGTCTGTGCGGCTTCAGCGGCTACAGGGCCTTGCACGGCAGGAGGGGAGGCAGCAGAATTAATTTTCCGCCTAGTTCCCCGGTCCCTCCGAGTTCCCTGGTCCCGCCCAGTTCCTTGGGGGCCAGGAGTCTGTGCGGCTCCAGCGGAGAGCCTAGCCTAGCCGGCTGCAGAGTTTCCAAGGCCGTGCACGGCGGGGGGGGAGGCGGTAGCGTTAACTCTCCACCGCGTTCCCCGGTCCCACCGAGTTGCCTGGGGTCTGCGAGTCTGTGCGGCTTCAGCAGAGAGCCTAGCCTAGCCGGCTACAGGGTTTCCAGGCCGGGCAAGGTGGGAAGAAAGACGGTAGAGTTAACTTCCCCTCTAGTTCCCTGGCCCCTGCCCAGGCCGCTGCGGACCCTGGGCTCTTGGTCCCCTCTCCCGTCCTCGCAAGCCTACCAGGACTGAGTGGGTGTTTCTGGTTAAGTGGTCCTCCAAGGTGTCCTTCAGCTGCCCTTTCCTGACGGTTTGCCTTTGTTTTCGTTGTAAATCCAGTTTGGTCTTGGGAGACGGTCTGGGTCCCTCCATTCACTTCGCCGCCATTTTTTTCTTTCTAGCTCAACTTTTAATTCAATTAAATATGATATATATGAGTTATATTTTGTAACTTTATAAATTAAAAAGTGAAAAAAGACTTTAGCATATTTTGTTTTATCATATCAATTGATTCATTTTCTATTAAATAAAGGCAGGGAATTATGATCTCTGTGTCTATGTTTTTCTAATTGAATATAAGCTATGTAGTACTAAGGGATATTTCCACCCACTGCAACATTGAACATTATTAAACACACACACACACACACACACACACACCAGAAATAAATGGAATTAGTTTCAGGCTCTTATCTCAGTCTCTCAGGCCCTTATCCTTCAGTCCTTCAAACTTGATGTATCCTGCAATGTAGCACTCCTCTGGCTTTAAAATAATGTTTTATGAAGTTTTCTTTTAAATTATATATAAAAATGTTTTAGGTTTCTTTACATGTTCTTTGTTATAAATGTACTCAATACAGATAATTTAGGCTAAGTAGATTAATACATTTTGAAAAATAGGTAAAGTAAGGAAACACATTTTATAAAACAAAGACACAAACTGCATAATATAAAGCCTAGAATTTGACATAAAATGGAGAACTGTACCTGATGGCAGCAGGTGACTCAGTAACAAACTCAACATCAGTTAATTAACTAATTAGAAAAGTGTTTATTTTAAACTTACTATGACCACACTAGACAATGGATTGTGTTGCAGAAGTTTTGAAGATAAGATTGTCTTAACTTCAATAAATGCAAAGAGTAGTGGAAGAGTTCAGCACAGTATATGTGATGGGTGGGGAAGAATGAATATAAGATACTTATGGAACTCATACAATGGATACTAAATCCAATGTGGAAATAAGGAAGGAAGTGATTTGGAGTATCATTGAAATTTGCTACCTACAATACCAGTTTCATACATATATTTTATTTAATGCAAGTTTCATAATCTTTCTCAGAAGGGTTACTATTACTAATGAGGAGCAAAAAGAAAAGAAACAGTGGCAATGTTGATAAGCTGCAAATATCTAACATGCCTCAAACATGGTGGTGATCAAATTCTCACTCAAGAGGAAGCAGGTGGATTGTATATGGGAGGTAGGTGTTGCTGACAGGGTGGAGAAGACAGAAATACCATGATGGGAAAGGTCAACATGCCAAAAAGTAGAACAAGGCTAAGATTCACTTGCCTAAATGTCTGAGAGATACTACACAGCCAGTGATTCCACCTCATTTGTGTCATTGTTTCTATGTGATTCTCTTGGTGCTAAATTCATCTACTATTATTTATTTTAGATATAGCTTTTAACAGAGAGACATCATATTAATCCCAAAGCTTTTCCGCTCATTGAACAAATCCTTATGTAGCTTTTATTAAATGCTAAGCATTTTTCCAAATGCTTCATGTATATTAACTCATTTAATGCTCACAGTAATCTTATGAGATAGTCTTGTATACAGAGGAAAAAACTGTGTATTTATAGAAGAAACAAAGAAGAATTGGTTTTCAGAACTAGTAAGTAGCTTCGGTTTAAAACTAGATATCCTCATTCTTCCTTATGAAAATATCTATGGTAATATCATTCACTGTTAACCCCAGCTTTCTTGGAATTACTAAGTACTCCTAGCAAGCACTTATTTAACTCTTGAACTGAAAGGAAAATTTTATAATAATAATAACAGTAATAGTTATGACTTTAAAATATAAAAGAAAATAGGTTGCATAGGAATAAAGGTTATACAAATGACACATAGGTATGCTGAAATGTCCTAAAATAATTTAGATGTAATCAGCCTCAGATTTACGCATTTTCTACCTAAATTATTTTCTACTTCTTTTTCCTCTATCCCTAACACTTGAGGTTGCCGGCGGCAATGGCATTAGTGTTTCTGACTACCAATGAGGCTCAGCAGGGGCTGAAAAAGTTGAGTCTTAGCAAAAGTAATAAATGGCTAAAGACAAAACTAAATTTTTACTTAAGAATACAGTATCTTGTCCTGGCCAGATTTGCTCAGCGGTTAGAGCGTCGGCCTGCGGTCCAGAGAGACCCAGGTTCAGTTCCCGCTAAAGGCATGTACCTCGGTTGCAGTTTGTCCCCAGCCCTGGTTGGGTTGTGAGGGTGGCAACCACTCGATGTGTCCCTTTCGCGTCGATGTGTTTCTCTCTCTCTTTCTCTCCCACTCTATCTGAACAAAATATATATATATAAAAAAAAGAATACAATATCTTTCTCATTTTTGAGGATTCTTGGCGTAATTAAACTTATAAAGTACGCAGAATGGGAAACATAGGGACTGGAGCATTAGCACAAAGCTGGTTTTCATTGGGAAGAAACTCTATGGACACATCTCTGAACTTCACAGGCTGGAGTCAGAAAAGTCTGGGAACAAATCCCACACCTGCCACTTCAAGCTTTGTGATACTGAATTTGTTTAACCCACCTTAAACAGAGTGCTTTCACCCGCAAAAGAGAAGAAATTAAAGGATCATTACTATAATGATCACTTTAAATCAGTTCACTTTAAATTTCCACTGAAGGTGAAATAGTGTACTATTTCAGTCAAATTCTGGTTCCACATTGGATATTTGTTAATCCACAATTCAATTGTTCCTTGTGCTTTCTCCTATAGATCTGGTGTGAGAAAAACAAAAAAGCAACTGAAGAATGAGAAACCATACAGAAGTAACAGAGTTTATCCTCCTGGGACTGTCAGATGACCCTAAGCTTCAGGTGGTGATCTTTGCCTTTCTGCTCATCACCTACATGTTCAGCATCACTGGAAACCTGACCATTATAAGCCTTACCCTGATGGATTCCCACCTCCAGACCCCCATGTATTTCTTCCTCAGAAATTTCTCCTTATTAGAGATTTCATTCACAACTGTCAGTATACCTAAGTTCCTGGCCACCATTATTTCCGGAGATAAAACCATTTCCTATAATGATTGCATTGCTCAGTTATTTTTTTTCATTCTCTTGGGAGTCACTGAATTTTACCTTCTGGCTGCCATGTCCTATGATCGCTACATTGCCATCTGCAAACCTCTGTATTACATGACCATCATGAATCGAAGAATCTGTATACTCCTTGTCTTCACTTCGTGGCTAGTTTCATTCCTAATCATCTTCCCTGCACTCATGTTGCTCTTAAAACTTGATTACTGTAGGTCAAATATTATTGATCATTTTACCTGTGATTATTTTCCCCTGCTGCAACTTTCTTGTTCAGATACAAAATTCCTAGAGATCATGGGGTTTGCCTGTGCTGTGTTTACTCTGATGTTCACTTTGGTATTGATAATTCTGTCCTACATATGTATCATCAGAACAATTCTAAGAATTCCTTCTAATAGTCAGAGGACAAAGGCCTTTTCTACATGTTCATCTCACATGATTGTCATCTCCATCTCTTATGGCAGCTGCATTTTTATGTATATCAAACCTTCAGCAAAAACTAGAGTGTCTTTGAGCAAGGGAGTTGCTGTGCTAAACACCTCAGTAGCTCCCATGCTGAACCCCTTTATTTACAGCTTAAGGAATCAGCAAGTCAAGCAAGCCTTCATGAACATAGTAAGGAAAACTATTCTTCACAAGCAAATGAAATAATATGGCATAGTGAATTAGAGACATAATGTAGAGAAATTTAAAAAATATAAACATGACATTTCTGTAGCTTCTTCAGATCACAAATTCCCTGTCGTCCCTGTTCATTCTTTGGGTTTTTTTCCTAACAATTCTGTTTGTTTTCTATATTTTCCATTTCATTTAAACTACTTTTCTTATGTCTTTCTGATGCTCATTCTTTTAAACACCTTCTCACAAGGTTTTAAAATTTTATTTATTTTTTAAAGATTTAAAATTTTTTTATTGTTAATACTATTACAGATCCCCTCTCTGCAATTCCACTCAGTCCCCACTCCCCCTTCCCTCTGGCCATCACCACACTGTTGTCTTTGTCTGTGGGTTATGCACACATTCTTTGGCTAATTCCTTAACCTTCTTTCATCCAGTAAATTTATTTTTTGATTTATGTATAGTTAGTATACAATCTTATATTGGTTATATTAGTTTCAGGTATACAATATTATAACTTGTTAAACAACAATAATTTTAGGAGTAAAATTATACTTTGAGTTTTGTGTAGGAAAAAATAATCACCAAGAATGGCAGAGAAACTTTTAAAATATTTACATAATATTTTCTTACTATACATAGAAATATAATTTTATGTTTTTATTTTATATTTGACAGGAATTCTCTTCACTATCTTGTAGTTTCTCTAGGAACATTTTTTAAATGTCTTATAATTTATTGAAAAATATAAGTGTTTTCACTTAAAAACTGAGAAATATTACTTGTTTCTCACTTTAATAGAATATGTCCATATAAATTATCTATTAGCAATAGCATCCATTAGATATATAAGATAAGTTTATTCTAATTTCATAGAAGGTTAGTTTCACCTTCTGACTACCCTAATATGTACATAACCCTCAAGTATTTATATATATATATAAATTTATTTGAGGAATATAAATTGATTCAGCTATTATGAAAAAGAGTACAAAGGTTCCTCAAAAATTAAAAATAGAATAATCGTGTGATCCAGCAGTCTTACTTTTGAGTTTATAGCCGATGAAATAATATATGAAAGAAGTATCTGCACCCAAAATTTCATTGCAGCATTATTCATAAGGGCCAGGATATAGAAACACCTAATAAATAAATTTAAAATGAAGTTTATATATACAATAAAATATATTTCAGCCTTAAAAAATAAAGAAATTCTATAATATGCTACATGATGAATCTGGAAGACATTATGTTAAGTGGAAGACAGAAAAATATTGCATGGTCTCACTTATATGTGGAATATTAACTTGAACTCAAAACAGAGATTAGAATGGTGATTGGCAAAGGGAGAAATGTTAGTCAAGGGGAAGAAAGGTTCAATTATGTGAGATGCTTAAGTTCTGGAGAGCTAATGTATTACATGGTGATTGCAGTTACTAATAATTATGCTGTACATGTGAAATTTGCTAAAGATATCCATACTGAAACATACTATAATAAAAGAAAAATTAGAAGTAGGAAAGGAAAGAGAAGGCAGCAGGGAAAGAGGAAGATCAAATATGAGATTAATTGACTCCATAAAAGAAGCCATAGGCATGAATCCACAGGAGCTAAGCAGGGCTGTTGAAGACAGGACACTGTGGACACCATTTATTCATAAGGTCACTTGGAGTCTGAGCCAACTTAATGGCACATAACACACATGCACTGTCATAGATTTGAGTTATATATACCTTTTTCTTCTATTTTTCTCCACACTCTCTTCTAATTCCTCTGTTCCAGTAAGTAATCCCCAAACAGACTTCCATTTCAGCCATGATTTAATTATGCATTGATGACTATATTATTTGATTGTATAAATTCATTATTGTATTTTTTATGTTAAATGCATGTTTAGTGACTTCTTTTAATATATAATATTAAATTATATGTGTATTATTAGTTTTTATAATTATATATAACAAATGTATGGCTTAGTATTAACTGATTATATATAATATAATTTTTATTATCAAAATACTTTGGAAAGATAAAGAACAATAAAGATAATTATTTCACTTAATATAAAATATTTCATTGTTTTACCAAATAATTTTAATTAAAATAATTAATAATAATTCACTAACAAGAATTTCAAATAAACAAAAATAGTATTTGGTAATAGTTCTCACTAGAATGTTAAAATATGATTGATAAATGTAAAGACCAAGATGAAAAAAATAATGGCCAAAATTGACACTACAATTAAACATTGCTATATGTAATGAGGGTTAAATTAGTTAACCTATGTAATAGCACTAAAAATTGTGAGAGAAAAAATTGTGAGCATAATATGTGCATTATAATAGTTATTATTTAACTTAGAATTTTAAAATAACCTTGTTTCCTGATGCTCCAACACTAACAAAGCCAAAGGAAAACAATAAAAAGGTTAGCCTGGCTGGTGTGGCTACGTGGATTAAGCATCAGACCATGGATTGGGAGGTCCCCATTCTATTCCTGATCAGGGCACATGCGTGGGTTGTGGGCTTGATCCCGAGCAGGGGGTATGCAGAAGACAGCTGATTGATGTTTCTATCTCTCTCTCTGTCCCTTCCTCTCTCTCTAAAAAAAAAAAAAAAAAAAAATCAATAAAAACATATATTTAAAAATAATAATAAAAAGGTTAGGTGTAGAAAACTTTTATAGTTCAAGATTATTAAATATAAATAAAGAGTTGTATTTTTGTACAAAAGTGGATTTCACAACTATTTTAATTACTCATGAAATATTAAGTAATTGTGATTAATAGAATTAATTGTTTTGCAAAAGCTAACATTTTAGGTCCTCTGTGGAATACAAAGGTGAACATAACCATTCACTGAGAGAAGAGTTAGGAGGCTGTAGATAAATTCAAGGATGGCTTCCAGAAATCCCTCATGGTCTATAATGTAGCCAAGATGTGGCCTGGACTTTGTCTCATTCCCAAGAGATCAATGCATAACTCTCTTCTGAAGTCATAAGAAGTAGACTTGGAATATTGAACTACGGCGCCACCAGAGAAAAGCCAGATCCCAGTTTAAGAATCTGTACTCATAATACCCAGTGTTGTAGTATCTTCAAATATTGATTTCTTAAACTTCTAGATCAACATTATTGAAGAGGACTATAGTATATTTCCACATCTTAAGGTTTCTGACTTTCCATTTCTACTTTCTGAGCTAGTTCCCTTGAGACATCATAAAATAGGGAAGAAGTAAAATCAAATTTGATTAAGAATTTGCTAGTGTCTGGCAGAAAAGCAATGATTTTATATTCTATCCTTCATGGCAGAAATTTGACTATCTAAAACATGAAGGAGGTAACTGTCACTATTTTAGCAAACCATATCTACAGCATGGTGTATCCAGTGCAGCTGAGAATTAACTGAATAGATTAGGATGAGGGTGAGTGGGAATTATATATATATTTATATATATTTATTTATATATATTTATATTTCTAAAATTTTTTTATGGATCAGAAATCTCATGTAAAATGCAAATGTGCTGCAGAACTGCAAGAGAATAAAACATTTTTTCATAAAGTTTAATAGCTCAGAAAGAAGGATATTCAAATGGAAAATGCACTGGGCTACAATCTCACTGGCAGAGCAGCTAAGATCTGAGGCAAGTAGTTATTTTTCCAATTTGTGCTTCAGTGCAAAATGAAAAATACATAGATAAATACTGCATGTTTCTTTGAGCTAAAAAATAAAAATTTTCCTATATATACATTTCTAAAAAGTCATAGAAGATGTCAAACATTAATGATTTTGATGGAATTAGAAGAAAAATCTGTAAGTGAATATGTTCATTATTTGTTAAATAAAATAATTAGATTACTTATTCTATCTTAAAGTAAATATACATATTATTATATAAAATGCATAAAATTTTTTTCATATTATCTTGATAATTACACCTATAAATATTAATGTTAAAGATAAAATTAATAATTAAAACTTATATTTTATTTTTTAAGAAAATAATTAATTGATTTCTTATATTATAAAAAGTGTAATGGGTAGTTACTTTAGTCTTCTAAGTTTCACTTTTACCTTTTGATAGAATTAAGATCATTCATTTCTATTTTTAGGTGGTGATATCTTCTAATAATACATGACAAAAAAGAACATGCATATTTCATATGATTGTTTCAAGAAAAAATGTAAGATTTGCAAGAAGTATTGATTTAATTTACCATCTCTTAATTATGTGATTTATTGTATGAAGATTTCCTAATTTCTGCTACATTTAAAATAAGAGAATTAGTAAAAGCAGAACTCACAAATATGTTTTAAGACATAATGCAAACAAGATAGCCAAAAGAAAAGAAAATCAGCACAGAGTATTAAAAATATTTTAGAATTATATCAGTGGTGATGATATTGATCATAATGAATCATATCTTTAATCTCCTCTCTTTAATATTTTTTCCACCTAAATATCTTTAAAAGAAAAGAGAAAGAGAGAGACAGAGCAATGAACCACACAGTGATCACAGAGTTTGTCCTCCTGGGTCTTTCTGATGATCCTGACCTTCAGATTGTGATTTTTCTCTTTTTATTTATCACATATATGTTAAGTGTCACCGGAAACCTGACTATCATCACCCTAACTTTGGTGGACACACATCTACAGACGCCTATGTATTTCTTCCTCCGGAACTTCTCTTTCTTAGAAATCTCATTTACAACTGTATGTATCCCTAGATTTCTAGGGGCAATTATTACCAGGGATAAGACTATTTCCTATAATAACTGTGCAGCCCAACTATTTTTTTTTATTTTCATGGGAGTGACTGAATTTTACATTCTAACTGCCATGTCCTATGATCGCTATGTAGCCATCTGCAAGCCTCTTCATTATACCATCATCATGAACAGGAAACTCTGTACCCTGCTTGTGCTGTGTGCATGGCTGGGAGGGTTTCTGACCATTTTCCCTCCCCTCATGCTGCTCTTCCAGCTGGATTACTGTGCTTCCAATATCATCGATCACTTTGCATGTGACTATTTTCCTCTTTTACAACTATCTTGCTCAGATACATGGTTCTTAGAAGTAATTGGTTTTTACTTTTCTTTGGTTGC